GCCATTACTTCAGTCCCAGTCATCTGATGGGGCTCAGAGACACAGGCCAGGGGTATGGGAAGATAGCTCAGTTGGTAAAATGCTTCTGTGCAAGCTTGAGAACCCTCTTGATTTCCAGAACATAGATGAGAAAGCTGGGCATGGTGGCACATCTTACAATCCCACCTCTTCAGAGGAGAAATGGGCAGGTTCCCGGGGCACATTGGCAGGCCAGCCTATGCTACCAAAATCCCATCTCGAAATTTAACATGGCTGGGTGTGTTGCACACGTTTAATCCCAACACTTAGGAGTCAGAAGCAGGTATATCTCAGTCATTTTAAGGTGACCCTGTTCTACATAGTGAGTTCCAGGGTAGCCACCAGAGATACATAGGTAAGACCCTGTCTCAAAAATAAAAACATGATGCTGGGCAGTGGTGGCGCACGCCTTTAATCCCAGCACTCAGGAGACAGAGGCAGGTGGATCTCTGTGAGTTCAATCGAGGCCAGCCTGGTCTACAAGAGCTAGTTCTGGGACAGGCACCAAAGCTACAGAGAAACCCTGTCTCAAAAAATAAAAATAAAAATAAAATAAAAACATACAGCTGGGTGCTGGTGGCACAGGTCTTTAATCCCAGTATTCAGGAGGCAGGAGCAGGTGGATCTCTGTAAGTTCGAGGCCAACTTGGTCTTTAGAGCTAGTTCAGGATAGCCAAGGCTACACAAAGAAACCCTGTCTTGAAAAACAAACAAAAAATATAAACAACAAAACAGCAACAACAAAAAACCCCACACACCACCCAAAATTCACAGCTCCTGAAGAACCATCCACGTTGTCCCAGTCTTCTTGAGAGCATGCACATACACACACAGGCCAGCTTTTAATTGTTCATGGTTCCCACCACTCCTCCTACCTCCCACTCCCACGTTTACACAGCAAGACAGACCCAGGTGGGGAGGCCAGTGCTTACAAAGTTGGGTTTATTGGTTTCTTGCTGCATCTCAGAGCATTAGGGTCCATCCCTCCCGGGAATGTGCCATTTAAGGAGATAAATACTTATTTTACTCCCCACACTGTAGCAGGGTGAGGTTTAATAAAAATAGCAATATAATAATAATAATGACTGTAATCATAAAATAATGTAATAATAAAATGCCCCCATGTCCCCCTAATACACTTGGTTGAAGCTTCCAAAAAAGGACCCTCCTTGCTGGGAAGGACCGAAGTGTGCCTGGAGATCTTCAGTGGCCCCGAAGGGTGTCCATCTCCCACCGAGAAGCCCTTATAAATACCCTCCCATCCCCTCCCTGCCTAGGAACCATTCTTCCCTGGACAGATTAGTTGGCAATATTCCTGCTCTCAGCCCTAAGCCCCTCCCCAGTGAAGTTTCTGGGTCTGGTTTTCCCCTTGCTCGCTTGCCCTCCTAGCACCTCCTGTCTCTCCACCCTCCTCCTCTTCATCACCATTTTGTCCTCCTCCCTCCTTAGCTGAGTACGGCTCTCCTGACGGCATCCCTTCCTCTTCTGCTTCCTTTGTCCCTCACCTCTCACCTCTTTCACCTGCACCATTCCTTCATCTTTTCTATCCTTTCCCTCTTAATCAGAGCTGTATTGACCCTGAGCATGACCCTGAGCAGAGACCTGCACATGCTCCATCCTGGTCTCAGCTGGGGGCCAGGCTACACAGACAAGACACCCAGCATGCTCCTCCGCACTCCTCATTCTGACTCCTACCAGCTTCCCAGGGCTTGGCCCGTTGAAGCACAGCTTTGGCACAATCATCCCCGGGCATCAGAGCCATGGCACTCCCAGAGGCCAATGTAGGCCTGTGTTGGAAGCCCAGGGAAAGGGCAGGGTGAGGGCAAGGAGTCAGACCCTATTCCTGGGGACCCAGGCAAATCTTACTCTTGGTCCTCTACCCAGGCTCTCCCTGAGTCTGAATTTCAACATGTCCCAGGACCAGCCGGAGTATGGCATCCCACAAGCTCTTTG